CTGTTCCAGGAGCCGTTGGATTTGCTGAGAAATGTAGATGGATGCCTGCGAATATTTTTCTAAAATTGTTGGAGCATATAAAAAACTTTACCAATTGCAACCTCTCGAAGAGGATTTTGATCGTGATGGATAATCACGAGACACACGTCTCTTTAAAAGCTATTTTATATGCAAGAGAGCACGGGATTGTATTGATGTCTTTCCCTCCGCACTGCACTCATAGGATGCAACCCCTGGATAAAGCAGTGTTTGGCCCTTTTAAATCTAAGTGCAAAGCATCTTTTAATGATTTCATATTGTCAAACCCAGGTAAACCGATTACCATTTATGATATTGCTAAATTGACAGCTCAGCCATATTTACAAACACTGGAGTATGGCCTATTAACTCATTAATTTATTCAGATGATGATTTCTGCGCCTCATACGCTACCGATCGTCCTGTCACTGAAAACAGTGACACGTTGTCTTCTACAAACATTATTGATACAAGCATTATTGTTAAGTCCAATTTTAATAATAAAGTTCAAAGCTCACCTGAAAGCCTCGATGTAAAAGCAATGGTCAGAGATATTTTAAAAGAAATTTTAGATGAAGCTACCAAACCGAAGATTAAAATACAATCTATTTTAACTATTGTAAAACCAATTGAAGTAAAACCATTACCTAAGGCGTGCCCTAGAAAAACCAACAAAAAATCTAGAGTAGGAAAATCAAGAATCTACACCAGCACACCTGAAAAGAATAGAATTGACGAATTGGAAAGAATAAGACAATCAAAGTTGAAAAAAACAGATACTAAGAGAAAATTGGTAGCAGAAATTACATCAAAGAAAAGAAAAAATGGCGAACAGATAGTAAAATCAAAGAAAAAAAACACTAAAGTGGTTCTAGATGATATTTCATCGTCAGATTCTGACATAGACTTGCCGTTAAATGTCACAGGCGCTAGAATTAAAAACAATTTGTCTGATTCTGACATCGATTTAGATTTTGAAGCTGATGATGCCCAGATTAATGAACTTTTAGATGATGAAAAAATCCTAAAGGATGACTATATTTTGGTGAAGTTTTCAACGAAAAAACGAGTTTTATATTATGTTGGAAAAGTAGTTGAAGTAGGATTGGAAAAAGGAGAATTTCAAGTAACATTCTTAAGGAAGTGTACGCAAGGATTTGTATTTCCACAGATTACAGATATTTCCATTGTTGAAGGAAAGGATGTTGTGTCAAAGTTACCCAAACCCTCGACAACTCCAGGAACATCAAGAATGGCATCCTATCTTCAATTTAATATTAGTTTTTTTGGTTACGATGTTTATTAATGTTATAAAAGCTAAATTTGTATTATTTCCTGCCTAATAATGTTTTTTAAAAGAGCAGTTCTTTAAAAATTAAACTTGTCCGAAACTGCCCCGGCCATGTCCGAAAGTGCCCCATCATGGGGCAGTTCCGGAAAATTTCATAATTTTGCAAATAAATTTTTTTCTAAAAAATCATTTACTATTTTTATTTAGATTTTACAGGAAAACAATAAGTAAACATAGCTATACTTACTATAATTTTTGAAATTCTTTATATCAAAAATCAATGGATATATAGCAATTTAAAAAAAGCTGTCCGAACCTGCCCCCTTCTCCCCTACTATTTTCCGTAACTGTACATAGGTGAACAATGCAGTGTATCACAGGACAGTTGATATTGTTTTGTTTTAAGAGTCTTGCGAATCCAATTTAAGTTTTTATCATAGCTTGGGCTTCATCAGTGAGAACACGCTTAAATAAGATTGACCAGTGTAATTGTTATATTTGTTTAACCGGAAGATCCACCATACATCGCAAAACTCGGAAAGGTCGAGGTCATTTTAAACATATATCTATAAATATCGACATATCGAATGGAGTTTATGGCAGCTCAAGCAACACACAGATTCTTAGAGCAACTGAAAAAGACAAAAAGGCTTTAAAAACTTCATTAACTATTTGTAATGCTTGTTATCAAGAAATGGGAAAAGGTAAAATACACTCTTGTGGAACTCCAGCAACGGCTCGTAAAAATGTTATGAAAATAGTTAAAAATCTTCCGGTAATACAACAAGAACAAATTGCATCATCTTTTATAAAAAGAAAAAATTGGCGCTGAAAAAAAAACAAACTAATTTAACCATAAGCACTCTGAGTAAAAAACTAAGAATCTCAATCAACAAAAAAGAATGCAAAAAGCTACATTTATAGTTGAAAGACTGGACAGTTATGAGGTTAGTACAGGTGCTTCAAACAATCAGATGAAAAAAATGACTAATTTTATTAGAACTAATGTTGGTAGATATGCGGTACCCAAAGCATATATAGGTAACTCATATTTAACAGCAAAGGTAACAGCAAAAACTTTGGAAAATGTTTATCATGAGGGCGTTTTTAAATTTGATGTTGAAAATAAATCGACAAAACAAGAAAGGCCTGTCATTTGGGCTGATGCTCAAGAACTACTGAATAATGTTGTGAAAATAACAGCGGATGATGGGCAAGGATTTTTTAAAGTTTGCATGTGTGTTTTTCCAAAAAAAAAAATCAGTATGGAGGAGATATACCCAGAATCGATTGTGATAGACTCCAAAAGTACGTTGTATTCTGAAGGGGGTACTTGCAGGAATCAAAATAAACCAACCATGGTTGGTTTATTTTGATTGCTGCAGTGTTAGCAATCAAAGAAACTTACGAAAATATTCAATTAATGTTTGTTCTAGTAAAACTCAATCAAATTTCGTTTAAGTTTGTTTTAGACTTTAAGTAACTTTTAATGGTTAATGGACAACAAACAGCAACATCTACGTTTCCGTGTTCATAATGCTTTATATCCTTAAATGAACTAAGAATGTACAATGGCCACGATATTTTAAAAATCATACAACAAGATAAAAAATCGTCTAATACTTGCCAAGATGAATTAGTAAAACATAAGCTTCATTCAAAACCTCGAAATTAGTGAAAAAAAATAGTGGTTTCAATTATACTTATAATTAACACAAACACAATGCTCAAAATTAAGAGAATTTGCTAAAAGATTGCCCATTCTTCTTAACCTGACATAAACAATATTAATTATATTAAAATAATATTTTTTACAACCATTACTATTAATATTTATATAACCTTTACTTCACTGGCAAATCTTCAAACTTTTTGCTTTTTACATGCGCACATGCGCAAAGCCGCTTTCCAATTATAATTAGTGGTAAAAGTTAGAAGTTTGCAAACTTTTTCCACTAATTGAAAAGTACTACCACTAATTTTTTTTGGTTGTGAACAACACTGTATATTCATAAGACAAACTTTTACGTTAATTGAAACCACTAATTTATTCCACTAATTATGAGGTTCTGAATGAGGCTATACTCTTAAAACTTACGGTGATTTAAAAAAGGATTATCAAATTAGTGCAATCTAAACAAAGAAAAAAATACGCAAAAGAATGTCATAGTACCATAAATCCACCGCTGTTTAAAGAAAACCAGAGCGTTTTTGTCATTAAAAAATGTGTTATTCCTGAGTTGCATGTGCTGCAAGGGTTTGTAAACCATTTATTTTGGAATGGAATAGTTGCTCTTGTTGGAAGAAAACAAGCACTAAAATGGCCTAAAAAGATTAACGTTGTCTCAAAGCATTACCAGGGAGAAATTTTTAAGGAAAATGCTTGAAAAAAGCTAATTAAGGAAGCTGATAAACTAATGGACTGTGAGATTACCAAAAATGTTGGTCCTTTAGTACTCGTTCCATTTGTGTCGGCCTTTAAGGCTATGGACAAAATTGTCCAGGCATCTTTTTCGTCTGAAAAACTGCATGAAAATAAATTAGAAAAATATATTAATGACCGCCGCGGCGTATCCCAAACTTTAAAAATTCATCTAAGAGAGAGTTTAAATATTTTGGAAGATAGGTTAGGTTTGTGGTCAGAGCAATCTGGAGAGTCAGCTCACAGAGAATTTTTAAAGCACTGGGAAAAGTAGAAATTAAATTCCTTTGCGCATAAGTCTTACCTATCAAGGTTCAAAATAGCAGTCGTGGAATTTTCTTCACGCCATCTCTAAAATTTTGAAATGTTTGGTAAAATTTCAAATTATTTTTGTTTAAGTACTTCCTTTGTCACATAGTAGAAAATAAATTTATTTATTTCGTATTTTTTTTTTTAATTCTGATTTTTATCCATTTTATTATTTGTAATGTCGTAGACATGCATGTGCATTTTTTTTTATTTCAGTTGTAACTGGACTTAAATACATGTATTTAAGTCGAAATTTAATAAAATGCACACAAATTAACTGCGAGAAGTACAAAAAGGCATTATCCCTGTGGGAACGCAATAGATTGTTAAAACTGTTAAAATCAGAAAAAATGACATAACTCAAAAAACCGATCAGTCAAGATAAAACTATATCTGAAAACTAGAAAAAAAGAACAACAAAAGAACCGATTTTTTCGTGATTTTTGTTATACTTATCGCGCCTTTAAGAACACCGTTTGAGACTGCTTAAAATTTTTCGGCAATTCTTGCTTAGGAAATTCCTACTAGGAATGACTCCCTTGTGTGTATTTTCGTTTTTTATTTAAATTTTTTTGGGCCTTATGTTGGACAGCCTTGATGTAATAATAATAATCTTTATTTAGTTCCAAAAGGAAACACCCTGTATAATTATATAAAAATTCATAATTTAGCCAACATTTTTTATTTAATTTGGCTACTGTAGTCAAGAATAACTAAATAAACTAATCCATTACTTACCTTTAGGTAGACCAGACAGTGTTTTGTGTTTTATTAATAACAATTTAATTATTGTCAAGAACTATGGAATATTCATTTGAACAAATCACCAGAATAAGCAGTTTGCGCATGCTCGGTGCGCTACCATTATGCTGCACAATAAAAAACTAATATATTTCTATTCAATTTAATACAGAATTATGTTAACAGCCTTTATGCATTTTCAATTTACACAATTTTTAGATGTCATTGGGGTTTGTAAAAATTCCTCAGAATTGGTAACCTTTCAAGCCAAAACCACTGGAAGAGAATTGAAGAAAAGAGAAGTCACTCTAATTGATCAAACCAGATCTGCTGTAAGTTTAAAACAAATAATTTATAATCAAAATAATATTTTGAAAATATTGTTCTATATTTTTGCAGATTGCTTTAACCCTTTGGGGAAATGACGCCGAGAGTTTTGATGGCACCAACAATCCAGTAGTTGTGATAAAATCTGCCAAACTCGGCGAATTTGGTGGTGGAAAAAACCTTTCCACAATCGCTTCAAGTCAAATGAGGATTAACCCTGAATTGCAGGAATGTTACAGAATTAGAGGGTGGTATGACTCTGAGGGAGTCAACATTGATGCCACCAATATTAGTGCCAGATCAGAAATGGGTAAGCAGTATAAAAATCAGGCCTTAAATCTAATTACATTTTCAAACCTATTAAATTTTTCTAGTTACCTACATTGTTTTTTAAGTGATTTTTTAACAGTTTTCCTCATAAAATTTGTTTTAGGCAACTTCAACACACCATGGATGTGCTTCAAAGATGTTCAGGACCAAAGTCTTGGTAATGCTGAAAAGGGAGACTACTACCAAGTTATGGGCACAATATTGTTAATGCGTTCTGAAAATTGCATCTACAAAGCTTGTCCCTCTGAAAAATGCAACAAAAAAATTGTTGATCTTGAAACTGGAATGTATAGGTGTGAAAAATGTGGGACTGAATATCCATCATTCAAATACCGATTGCTGGCAAGTGTAAGATATTTAATAATTTTATACTATCAAATGGTTTTAATATGTATTATATTTAAGATGAATGTTGGAGATTGGAGTGGCAATCAGTGGGTCAGCATGTTTAGTAATGAAGCTGAAAAAGTGTTAGGCCTGACAGCACAGGAAGTTGGAGAACAAGTTGATAACCAATCCCAAACAATGGCAAGTATTGTGGATAAAGCCAACTTTAAACAGTTTGTATTGAAATGCAGGGCAAAAATGGAAACATACAATGTAAGTACAATAATAAAACCATCTTCTATATATTTTTTTATTTAAACTAATTTTTATTACAAAAAATATTATTGGACACAATATCCAGTAGCCTTATTGAAGTAGTATCACCTAGAAATAATAAAAAATTATATTTTTTTAGGATGAAGCCCGCTTGAAAACAGTTGTTGTTAGGGTTGATCCCATTAACTATGAGGAATACAATGCCCATCTTATTGAAAGGATTCAGGCATTGATGTCAGCATAATATTAATACAAAATAACTATTAAGAAACATGTTAATTTTTTATTTTAATGTTTAGGTAGGATTAATACATTTTGAGTTACTTAATGTTGTTTTATTTTTAAAGTCTATGATTTATTAAAAGTTTAGACAGGGTGTAGTGACTACACTGTAGTCTACCATATGGGATATGCATGAATAGCAGACATTTCCTTTGATTTAAATTAATATTAGTCATTCCAAACTGATTTCAATAAAAACGTTTAATATTATTTTTATAATAATTTTGGACAGACTTCTGTTTATTATTAAAGAGACCCATGTTGCTACAGTGGTGGATTGTGGATTTTGGCTATACTGATATCTCAGTTAGTAGACATTGGACCCACACCAAACTTATATGAGTTTATAATGACATTAAATAGACAAGTTCTGCGAAAGCAAACTTTAAATTGAAGTTTGGGAAAAAAGTTTTATTTTTTAGAGCGCCTCACCAACCTTCTGCCATCCCTAATTAAGATTATTCAAATTAAAGTGGTGCAATTCATAAATCACATTTTATCGGCGAATTTCAAAATTTATTTAAAAAATTTAAGAATGAAAGATTTTATACCATTTTAAATTTTTAATGTTCTTTTAACTAAAATTTAAAAAAATTAAAATGGTATAGTCTTGGATATTAAAAATAAATTTTGAAATTTGTTGATAAAATTTAGTTAATTATGAATTGCACCACTTTAATTTGAATAATCCTAATTAGGGGTGGCAGGGGGGCACATACAGGTATTTCTAAGATCTGGGCGGCCAAAATGCCTGTTATCAAAGTTTGAATGACATCGTTAAAACAGACAACCTGCGTTGGACGACACTTCTGAGAACCGTATCCAACCGCTTACTCCCTTTTCCCGCGCACCCCACGTACGTATGATTAGTCTGAATTTAAATGTCTAACCTAGTGTACATATCAACTTTTGGCGTGCTTATAAGACAACCTGTTTTTTATGTGAATATTTGCACCGCAAGTTAATCTAACAAGTTAAAAGTGATGGATCGTAATACACCAGGTAATAAACTTTCAAATTATCATATAATAAATATAAATAACTTATTTAAATAGAAATTTTTAATTATTGAAAGTGAACTCTTTTTCTTAGTCTAGTTTTAATGATTTTTTTCTTTTACGAAGGTATTTTTATGGTATCAAGCTAGATCAAGCTATGGTTTTAATTTTTATGTAATATTTACCCTTTCTTTTAATAAAACACCAAAAGATTGCCCGGAAAATTCCGGATAACTTGTTTTTTTGATACTTCAAAGATTTTGGACAAAAAAATCGAAAAAATAAATAATATTATTTTTAATATAAATAATATATTTTTTTTTACATTTTTCAAAGTGTATGTTTGTCTTTGGTGTACCAGGTGTTTCGAAAGTAAGGATAGTAACTCGAAAACACTTGTTTGATGGCATGGAGAGTGCGGATGTGTCTTATATTGATGCTAAACTAAACCGTCTAAAGGATCAACTATTCTCATGTGAAGGTACGTTAACGTATATGTTAACCTGTACCCATGGCATCCTATGACTCCACCATTGCTCAAGATTTTAGTTCATGGGGCAGTAATATATTGAAAAAGCATTGTTACCTATTGGTCAGCTTTCATAGGAGGCAGCTGAAGCTCGTAATAAGCATTTCAGGAGATATCGACAAAACTTTGCAAGAACATTTTTTCGATAAAACTGCAATAGGGACAAATTAAATCGCCTTTTAATTAGTTCAGATCCTATGTTAAAAAGCATGAGAACAATATAGAAAAGAAAAGCTAACACGTTCTTGCCAAAAGCAATATCAATGTTCATATCTGAAGATCCATACACGAGCGATAATTCATCAGATAGCGATGACGGAATTAATTAAGTTAATTACAAAAATGCTGAATACTTATTACGTTGGGTTAATTGTACTGTGTGGTGTATGTAGGAAAATGTAATAATTACACTTATTACAATTACAATTATTGTAAGAATCTGACTAAGCATATTTTTCTTAATACGCCATTGTGCCGTTTAGTAAAAGTATTGTAAATTAGTATTTTTTTTGTTAAAAACAAGTTAATTCATCTATTGGCATGGTTAAGATACCATTTAAGCATACAAATAATTTTGGCCGCCCAGATCGTGCAAATACCTGTATGTGGGCTGGTGAGGCGCGCTGAAAAACTAACTTTTTTCGAAAACTTCAATTTAAATTCTGCTTGCGCCGAACTTGTCTATTTAATGTCATTATAAACTCATATAAGTTTGGTGTAGGTCCCATGTCTAACTGAGATATCGGTATACCCAAAATCCACAATCCGTCACTGAGTTGCTAAACATAATTTTTTTTTTTTAAACTTGTAAAAATAATAAATTGTTGGCCTGTTTTAATAGTAAATGATTTAAGTTATGGCCCTTAACGCCCCTTCCAGACTGGAATTACCACCTACCATGTTTAACTTAAGGTGACCAGATTCGTTCAAAAAGAAATCGGAACACAATATGCAGAAATAAATGAGGAGGGTTAAAATTTTTCTGGGAAATAATACAAATATTTAAAAAATATATATTTTTATGCTAGACAAACTACATGTAGGTATAATGAAAATATCACAAAAAAACATTAAATTTAATGTTGTCTGGAAAGATTGAGGTTAGTAAAACAAAGATAGAAACACTTTTCGATTGACTACACTTTCGTGTGGTAAGAGTAAGAAGCAGAGACCTTGTCTCTGGTGAGAAGGGAGCACTAGCCAACTTATGTTCTATCCGAGAATGTATCCCTAGATATATCAACGAAATATGCATGTCGTTTTCGATTGACATGCATATTTTAAACGACAATATTTATATGTGATAATTCTCGAGAAAATTTGTACTTTGCCATGTGGATCACTGCTTTATCTTATATCGGTACATCTTTGGAACAGATTAATAAACCGGAACATTTACGGAACAGAATGTCGAATCGGGAAGTGTCTGCCGAAAAAGGAACAGTTCCGATCAAATCGGAACGGCTGGTCACCTTAGTTTAACTGGAACTTCCAGTCTGGAGGGGCACACAATAAAACAACCTTTGTAAATTTACTACGCCTAGAATGGCATAAAAGTACAGGCGCGGACGTAAAATTACCAGAGGCTAGTAAAATTAAGGTGTACAAATATGGATAAATTTTCCATTACAATAAACATGAAATTGCGTTTTATAGTATAAATGTTGGCTTTAAAGCCAACATTTGTACTAAAAATGTTTTGATTACTTGAGGTTATAACCTCACATATATATATATATTTCCATCGTTTTACGAATTCACATATGCACAACTGCAATTTCACTATCTTGCCTATTATCTTTCACAAGGGCTAGTAAATTTGTTAAAGGCAAGTAAAGTTACAGCAAATGGTCCAGTGTCTCATTTTTTTCCACTCTGTATACTAGCTCCATAGAAAATTTACTAGTGGACTTTAAATTTTAGCTAGAAGCTTGTAATTTTACTACGCTGTAAGCAGTAAAAATTTTTAGTAGACGCTAGTAAATTTACAGAGGTGGTTTGTCTGTGCATTATGTGCTTGATCATTTGATTACTCACCTAACCTAAAAATTCATAATATATTGTTATAACGGTTCCATTTGAGCTTTTCTTCTGGCATATGCTCCCAAACATGCCAAAATACCAAGTGTGGTTATAACAAGGCCAATTAAAAATGCCAAAGTATCTCCAGAATCAAACATGTTTAGAGACTATAAACAACAAATCAGCTGATTTGACAGTGTTGCCAAAACCAGCGTTGCCGCACTGAAATTCTAAATTACCCACTACTTTGACAAAATACCCGGTTTTACCACCACTTCAGCATGAAAATCACCGGAAAATTACCCTTCCGATTACATAGCTTGAGTTAAAAAAAGGCGTGGTCAAATTTTTATTAATGGTAAGAAGGTACGTGTATTAGGTAGGAACTTTATTAATATATATATACATATATATATATATATATATATATATATATATATATATACATACATATATATATATATATATTTACATCCCGCTATAGTTGTGAGGTCCGACCGTCCTACGAGCGTTGTGAGGACCGGTGCTTCCCTTGTACTTAAAAGGTCTTATTTGATACGGCCTTGCTCAATTCAAAATTAGCGTCAGTACGGTAAAGAGTATACTCGCTTAAAATCCATAATAAATATTTTTTTGTGTGGCTGTATATTCGACAAAGTGAGGACCGATCATGCAGGGTACAAAGCGGGGTCCGTATATCCTGCAGCTAGGGTTGCCAACCGTCCTATATTCAATAGGACAACCTTATATTTCACGCTTGTGTCCTATATTGTTCTATATGTCCTATTTTGTCCTATATTTCATCAATTTGTCCTATATGTCCTATATCTCAAAAACTAGATTTGTAGAATTTAGGTATGCGTTTTTGAATACGCTTAGGAAAATTAAATAAAAATAAAAAACACACTTTTGAAAAAATCCGATAGCTATGAAAATAGAGTATACAAAAGCATTTTAAAACCATTAACATGTAGTGGTCAATTAATTTGGGCCACAAAATTCTCTAATTAAAACGTTACGTTAAAGCATTTTGAGGGTCAAATTCGTTGACCACGATATTTGAATGTTTTAAAATGATTTTTTGTTCTCAACTCTATTTCGCCAACTTTGTTATTTAACTCGCTTGATTTCCACAGCGACGATATTATACGGGTGTCCGGAAAAAGCCCCACCTACGCCATACGACACTCTAGGGTGTTTATTTTAAGTATAAAAAACTATTTTTTTCCGACGAGTAGTTTTCGATTTATTAGGCAATTAAGTTTAAAAAACTCGACAACGCTGTTTTCCTAAGCCCATTTATGAGACATATAAAGGTGGTTATGAAAACAAAATTAATGCATTTACAGCATAGATAAAAGACAGAGAGCTGAAATAATTTTTGAAGCAAACATCAGAAAATACATTTTTCAATCGTTAATTATCGACAATTGAAAAGTGTATTTTCTGATGTTTGCTTCAAAAAATGTATCCTAACTTTGTTTTGATTATAAATAAGCCTTGGTTATAATAT